TGGGAATCACAAACATATAGCATCGCACGATATTTATATTTAACATCGTATTAATAATAAACAAAAGATATAGTAATTAATATTGGAATTTCTCTGCAAAAAGTTTGTAGGTGAAAAATAATTTCTCTAGAATAATATAATAATAATTCTCTGCAGTAATGAATATTGTTGACGTCTAAGAACACAATTGACCTTCTTGTAATACTAACAAGGTATGGCTTTCTCCTACTACTGCTTTTAATTCAGTTAGTTATACTTTACTAAATTTATCGATTGAAGAAAATAATAGAAATAAAGAGCCTTTTTTCGGATTGTATATGTCGTATGTAAATCCCGTCGCCCATACTAATACGTAAATGCGGTTTTGGGGTCCTTGACGGAATTTACGTACGACATTCATCTATTTATTTTGGGGTCCTTGACGGAATTTACATGGTGACGGGATTTACATACAACATGATAATTATAACATACCATATTCGGTTGGAAAAGGTAATAACCCTGAATATTGATACGCTTGTTTTTGACATAATAATAATTGTAATCATGGTTTTATTTCAATACAATATCAGCTCACTTAAGTAAGAATGTACTAGAATATTCTCCTTGTCAAAAGGGGTTTACGTCAGTTCTGGCATTTAGGGAATTTTGGATATGCTGCCCCAAATAAGAATTCGCAATGGACTATATATCACGACCCTCAGTATACATATCCTAGTATAATCAACTAACCCACCCTCTAGCCACCTGGTGTCGATGTCCATAGACTTCCTTCACCCTCAGTAGATAAACTATGACTCCGATCCTGGCTCAGACAACGGAAATATTCTCCGCCACGATTGTTTAATTTTTCTTAATTTGGGCCAAGTAGATTGACCACAATTAAGGTTAAAAAATCCCGAAATGTATAGCTTCGGGCAGGTGTCGCTAGTTGTACTTCTCAATAGGGCACTTTAACCATGTACCAAAGTATTGGACTTGTCCATCGAGGCATTGGCCCAACAGTTTACGGAACAAGATCTGATATCATGGCGAATTGCTAAAAATATGTAACCCGTATTCATGACATCGTAACATATGACAATAAAAAGAGGTTATTTATTTACAGAGAGTTTGACCAGGAGTTTATGTCACGCCAATCATAAGATTGAAGATTTACAATAGTGTTCGAGTCTGTTTATTTATGCCTCTGTAAATACTCTCCAAAGGATGAACATAGTCAAATTGAATTCAATTTGACCTTTGTTAATTTACTTTGTATTACGGCTTTAAATTCATGTGAATCTTAAATATTATATTTATTTCTCAATTATATTTACCATTTAAACTTAATTAAAATAGTCTTCCATAAAAATACATAGGAAATATATCAAAGACGAGACGTTTCCCCATTGTAAACGCGATGGCGTTCATTAGTTGAAACTAATAATTATATAAATTAAAACACATTTCTCATTATGTCCTACTTCTCACAGTTTCTTATCTACACATTTTTTCTCGATCTAAGGTTATATCTTTTCGCCGTGACTTGTTCTTCATGATTATCGTTCACGTGGCCATTACTCGAAATACCGTTGGTCTTCGACGGCGGGAGAGCATTCTTATTGTTGGATTCATCACCATCCGATTCGCGTGGTGGCTTCTCCATATAAGTACCAAGAAGGCGATCCCATACCGTGAAGAATGGCTGGGAAAAGTTTTTCTTTATTCCGTAACTTTGATGGTGAATATCATGACTAGCACATCATGGCGTGAGGGTGATGAAATGAGTAAGAGTTAATAAGCTGATGAAAGGTCTGTCAACGATGAAGAAAATGCAGCTAATAACAGTCGTGTACTCACTATGCAGCATTATTGCCAAAGATCAATTGAAGTGGATTAAATGGCAATGCATATCCGCAATGATCATCAACTACAAATACAATATAGTGTAATTTAGCGTAAAGAACATATAACATATGCTGGACTTGGACTAATTCAGCCCCCAAGGTCAAACCCAATACTCCATTTCGTACCAGTTTTCATAGTGGCAAAACTAAAGAACGCCATCCCTTCTCTCGTCGTCATGCCCGTCAGTTTGAAAGCTAATCCAGCACCCACAATATCCATTACGAATCCTTCAAGAGGGTGATTATATAATGCTCCAAACGCATACGGGACGTAGAGACGATGATGGACAGAGTGAATGTGACGATACAAGAACGGATTGTTATGTAAGAATCTATGGAAGAAGTATTGCCAGCTGTCTACAACAAACCTATTTAAATGAGTAGAGCGTTAGAATCAATCTCAAAATAGTGCGTACGGTGCTTTTATCTAATTTATCCGCCCCTCGGCACAACCATCTCACAAATTCCCATCAAAATCACTTACATAGCAATAACAAATTTCGTTATCGGCAACAGATACCAATAGCACATCTCTGCCATTACTCGCCCCAATTCCAGCTTTCCAAACATTCTTTCGATTTCACCCGTCAGCTTGTCCACCTCAGCCTCATCATCAACCAACATATCTTCGTCTTCTGCCATAAGAATCAGTAGTCCGAACAATGTTTGCAGAACTTGCTGTATCAGCACTGATTTGATAACCTCGGCCTTTGTTACTTTATTCCTCTTTTCAATCTCTGCGGGTGTGTGAATTCGATATGGCTCAAATAAAGAGACTCTGTATTCAGAAATCAAATGGTAAAATATTGAATAAACCCAGTAGACGAGGAGAGGAACGAGCATAGAGAGCTGCTTGTCGGTCATGAAGGGAAGAATTGGAGTCGGACGGAGGGGTTCAGAAGCGGATGTCATGGTGAGCCGTCTGACCTAGTGGCTTTACGTAAGTCGCTTGTAATTATTCGCAGGTTTTTACGTGAATTGATTGATGAATAGATCGGCAATTGATTCTATAGTTCGCCAAGACCTTTTCCAGAGGCCAATCAATCGGAGAGCCAAGTCTATTAATGTGGGCAGTTTTTTTTTTTTTCTTTTCTGTACTTAACAAAATGACAGCATAAGGTAGAACATGCACGGGTTAAATTAGTGCACAAGCATTATACGAATTGTGTGAATGTTTGCTTGAATTCTTTAACTACCACCAAAACGTTCTTTGTTCTTGACTTTTCTTATTCAAAATGTGTTTGTCAAGTTCCGATCACCAAAATCAAACGACCACAAACTCAATACCTAGACAGTAATTAAGGAGGTTTTTTCTCTGACGCAACGAATTCAAGAGTTTGCCTATTTCTCTTGTCTGGAATTTCCAGCGGTTTTCTCGAGCATTTCACGATCATTTATTATATTGTCATATCTTGGTGAAACATTACGTGGAGCTAAATTTGGGGCCAATTATGTCGTGATGATTTGTGGCCAACCGCATGGGACAATAATAATAGCGTTAACCTTTTATGGCGTTATTTGATAGTAACAACCTTGTGACTTGACGCCATTTGTTATTATGATCGATGTTGCTTACTAAACTCGGTATGGCTAAGGACGGCAGTCATTTTTCATAAAATCGTGAAAGTATTACTATCCGGGTAAGGTAAATTCCGGCAGACATATATGGTAATAATAATAATAATGCAAGGCCGACTGTTCAACGTGTGACTACAAAAAATAAACCGGAGGAAAGCGAAAAAGGAAATAAAACAGAAAATGACGAGTGAGCGTAACGAAAACCAGATAAATAGCAGATGGGTTACTGTTCGATGCAGACAAGTTCTCGATCTCATCTAACATTACGGCAAAACATAATAATCGGAATCTCAACTTTGGGCATGATTATAATTATAATATAAAAAATTTTCTTTCTCTTAGCATAAATAATATTTTACATATTCAATTAAACGATGGACACGGCTGTGTTAGTTTACTATTATTTTACAAATAAAAACTAATTCTTTCATTAACTTGCTGGAAGAGAGATTTCAAAACAGGAGAAAGATGACTTCCTAAAACAGATCAAGACTGGGAAATTTTATTAACTGTTGGAGGGATTAAATAGGCATGCTGGCAACAAAATCAGACGAAGTGAAGATTTCATTATGTGACATAAATGAGAGTCTGATGTGACTGAAAGAATAATTAAGTGACTTGGAAAGGTTTTGTTCTGGTAACAAAGCTGTGACAAAATCAAGCAAGTGTACATTTGACCATGTGAGTTAAAAATTGCTAGTGTGGCTGATTTTTTAGTGATGCACATGTCTAAATTCATGGATATATTAATTTGGTATCAAAATGTAATCCTGGTTTGAGATAAATGTCTTACTTGCAGTTATTACATTCATAAAATTTTAATTCTGCGTCCAAATTTGAGTGGGAGAACAATCAATTTATAATTTGCGTAGGTGTATTCTGCCAAGGAAATTTTCCAAATTTAGCTGGTACCGCTGCCCTTATCGTTATTCCAACGATTGCTCAATTAAGGTACTAAATTTATAAGTGACAATAATTAATTTATGTGCGCGCGCTCCATAATGTATCTATCTATACTCGTATCTATATTTACTGCAAATAGGACTGTCTTCGATCTAGTCTTTCAACTAGTCGGAAACGTCATTTAAACAACGAAATAATCATCGTTCATGATTTTTTAATTATGGCAGTAATTTGCTTCGAATTTAACAAACGTACTGTGATTGACAACTTTTCTTCAGCTAGGGACAACTGGAATTTATTTCCAACAACCTGATAATGACTATGTCACGTAGACTTGTCAATAATTAATATAGTGAACGATAGAATATAAAATAAAACGGATCGTAATAAATTTAAAAGAATAATAATCGTTTATTATACCCAATACTTCAGTATCGAATATTAAAATTTTATAACAATAATTAACATGAACATGAAATTTTGGGCCTATCCTAAACTAGCTAATGTTTATATCGTACTACAGCTCGGTGACATTCGACTGCGGACGAAGATTTTACCATGTGACTTGGTTTGCGAATTCATTCGATCACCTCGCCGCAACAATATAGGCCTATCTGCGTATAAAAAGTATTACACGGTAAAACTTGATAAGTCAAACGTTCGACAAGTCAGTGATAAGACAGACAGCAACACTATTGATTTTCACATCAGAATGATCCTGGTATCACGTGCATTAACAAATAATTTGTTGTGCCCCCCAACTCACATCCCATAAAAATGATACCTCGTAATCCTACCGGCTGGATATCACTCATACTCATACCGGGTGCATTTATTACTGGTGTAGTATTGCATCAAAAGGCAGAGCAAGAAAGAGCAGTATGTGAATGAAGGAATTATTATCACAGTCATATCGTTAACAAAAACAATGTGTACTTACAAAGCGTGCATCACATAGCTATCAAAAGAAATGGATCCATCTGTCCCGTAAGTAGCGTAATACAATGTTAGATAACCAATAAGTAATTACAGCATTGTCATATACATACAATATTCTCATTTACAGATTGGACCCCGCCCGCAAAGCAGAGCTGCTCAGACAGCGCGAAGAAATATTAAAGAAACTACACGAGTATAAACGTGAGAACTAACTGCAGGCTTCCTTGAAGGCATGCATTACAACATGAGGCCCTACTATGGCAGATAGATTCTGGCTTGTGAACCGTAAATATACATATACATATAAATATACATATCAAAATACATACTTGATTACTTGACGACGATAAGAGTGTTGGCAGGAAGCAATGATCTTCATGCTCTTTCTGGCTTCCTAGTGATTTATTTCAAACTTACCCACCCATTGAGTTCATACTTTCATATGGTATGCCAGCACGAATGTTTCCTAATACAGGGAGTCGTCTTTGCATATGACAAACCCAAAATCAACGATGGGAGCCTTCCAATGTTTTGCCAAGAGTAGTAATCACAAACTGTTTCCTTGTTGTTAGTAATGCATTCGCTATGCCGCTTTCGTGTAAATTTCGCAATTCGACGAATGCTTGTAAAATCTCAAGGGATGCGGGCGTTTTACTCCCACTCAGGTCGAAGCCGTCAAAAAAGCACTAAAACTTAAAAAACCACATTACTGAAATTACCGGGGGGGAACAAGGCGTTGTGGTACAAATCAACGTCTGTAACCCATCCACTAGAATTTCTGTTCTTTACTACGCCTCGACCAAACATTCTCGACACATCGCTAACTTTTAATTTTCTTGGTTAAACTTCCTAATGGACGTATTAAAGAACAATTTCACAGAGTTACTGCCTACAATTAAGCAAGCAATAGATGAAGCCGATTTTATTGCGTTAGATACTGAATTGACCGGTTAGTTTGCTTTACGCGGAGATGAAGAGACCGCGTAATCGTATTGAGCAAATGATAAGGCGGATTCTTATGTCTTCTCCTGTTTCCCCCCTAATCTCGTCAATGCATTCGTTATAACAAAAGGATTAAGTGAACGTATAGGACGAAACAGGAGCTTTGATAGTCCACAGGCGAGATATGCCAAAGTGCGCGCTGCGGCAACAAAGGTTCTTTTTTTTTAATTTCTTCACTATACGTTAAATTTGTACGTTCTTTTTTCACTTTTACCATATGATTACAACTCATTAAACGTCTTTCGCATCTTCTCTGTCCTTCCGCCCTTCATATCCTAAAACAACAATTCAGTTTCTGATCATACAATTTGGCCTGTGCACGTTTACCTATTCATCCACAGATGACAAATTTATAGCCCGTCCATTTAATTTCTACATATTTCCGGCGAATGCTGACCGCAGAGACACAGACGATGTAGTGTTCATGTGCAGCGGATCTAGCTTGCACTTTTTGTCAAACAACTGTTTTGATTTTAACAAGTTAATAGCTAATGGTGTGTTATAGCATATAGAAATGGAGAGTAGTTTGTTATCGAGGTGATAGAGATGCATTAAGTGTTAAATTAGAGTACAATTGCTTGTGTAGGCATACCGTTTCTGAACAAGCCCGACGAAGAAATCTTATTGCGAAGGAGAGCTCACGCCGCACAACGACAGATAGGTAACAAGTTCTACGTTTGCACATTCTTTCCGTGGTATTATAGACGTAAATCGTAGCTTACACTTTAAATCATATTCACAGAAAATCCACCCGAGGCTGATGTTGTGGAAGCGGCCGAGAAGGCTATGTAGGTTTTCGGGGGGGGGGGGGGTGTTTGCAAATTAGATTGAGTAACAAATTTCGTTAATGCGGAGGAAAATCTTAATTAGAAAGTCAATCGAAGCATGGTTACAAAACCCGGTCAACAATCAGCTTATTATCGAAACGCCCACTATTAGACACAAACGGTTCATTTTTCAGCAAGTCAGGGCGAAGTAAGTGTTTTATCGATAGCATGAGCTATCAGCGAATGCTCATGCGAGAATGCGTTCGAGCTGAAACATGGATTAATGCGTTTCGATTTTTTGTTTATTGTTTTAGGTTCAATGGATTCGTAGACGGTGATAGTAGACCAAAGTCGATCGCGTTTATGCGACTAACTGAAGAACAACGTGAGCGGAAATTCAAAGAGGATGACGCGCTAGTATGCAAAGGAAAAATCATTCGTGATTCTTGTCTGCTTTTGTTCAAACATTTACTCGCATATTTTCTTCATTCACCATTTGTGAATACGACAAAAGCTCTCTGACATCAACGTCAATTTCCGCGATGTCATAGAAATGTTGGTGGAAGCGAAGAAACCTATAATCGGCCATAATTGCTTCTTGGATTTATGTCAAACGATTCATCAATTTTATGAGGAAGTTCCAGAGAAAGTACGACAATTCAAAGCGCTTGCTCACAAACTTTTCGAAACGTAAGACTTAATTTGTGAAGATGGGCTTGTCCTTAATCTCATTTGAAACTGTTTGCTAGCTGAATCAATGTGTATTGGCTGTAACATTGATGTAATTATTTATAGTATTATTGATACCAAACACTTGGCATCTTCGCACTCAAAGCTCCAGGTTAGTGCAGTTATTATTTTCTCATGCTTTTGATTTACGTGGATTATGCTTCAACTTTGGCTTCCATTTCACCCTTCTAATTGATCTTTGCTCCAAAAAAATGAGGCCCATCTTATTAAAACCAGCGTTCAAGACACTCTCGAAATAGTCCAAAAACGTCCTTTCACTGATTTGGGGCCAAAAATTGGTAAAAGTTTTTTTGTCTGCCGAGTGCATTCCTTTTTTCAACAAATCCAGGTCCGACAATTTCACGTTCAAACGTCACACTAATATTCAATGATCGTGCTAGTACTCGATCCGAAATTTGCTAAATATAAATTTAACGATAGCTCTTTGTATCACGAGGCGGGATATGACGCTTATGTCACTGGATTTATATTCGCTCGCTTGGTTGCTTTCATGCTTCATGAAAACGGTATGTCTCAGTTTACTCGTGTGAATCTGACACATTATATGCGTCATTTTAAACCGAATCTCTCACCATTGCAATCGCAGAGGAAGCAAAGAGAAACGCATACTCTTTCCTAGATGATGTTCCTGAAGGCGACATTCCGGTACACAAGAAAGCAGATGATGAACCTGTCGAGGAACAGGATGAAAATGATATGGATTCCGAAAAGAAAAGACTTGTAGATTTAATGTGGACTTCTCCAAAGGTTATTGGATACTATAACAAATTACACATGATGAGGTCGGATTTCAAATACCTTAATCTGACTGGGGAAGATGGATGTGAGTATATCCGACATATCGTTCAAGCAGAACGATTTATCGTCCTTGATTCTTTGTTTCGTTCTTTACGTCAATGGAATCATTATGTGAATGAGCTTTATTTCTCTGTGACATTCCTCTCATCCACTTTTACAGGTCCATCGCCAAAACCAAACTCATTCCTCCTTTCCAATATCCCTCAGAACTGCTATCAGTCCACCCTTTCGACAATCTTTGAAGATTTTGCGCCAATTTTCGTCAACTGGGTAGACGATTCGAATTGTTGGCTAACCGTAAAACACGATAAAAAATGTGAGAAGTTAAAAGAGGCAAAAGTAAGCGAGTTGAAATTCTTTCAAGAGTTTATGGAAGGCAATAAGAGAGCAAAGAAAGCGCAAGAAAATGGGGTGACGGCAGAGATGGGAGAAATTACAATCATTCCGTGGGGAGACTGGATCAGAAATATTGTTTGGGAAGATGTAGACCAAAAACAGGCGGAGAGAGAGAGTGGGGATGGCGAAGAAGAAAGTGGGGAAGGTAGTGAAAGTAAGTCGAATACCCAAGGACACTTCCATTCTTTTCGCCTTACTTTTTCCACTCATCCTCTTGTTCTTTGCGCGATTTTTTTCTAGCAATATCAAATGTTTCAAGCACCAAATCGGAGCAAGAGCGTCGGTATTCTGCGGCCTCATCTTCTTCAATCAAATCATTATTGTCGAATTTAGACAACATGGAATGGCCACCGCCGGCAGATAGGCTTCCGTTTCCAACGAAAGACGGTGAAGCTACTCGTTCGGTCGAGGTCAACAGTTATGCGGTAGAAACCTGGGGCCAGGTCGGGATCGAAGGCAATGACAACGCTAATAATGACAATGTAAGCAACGAGGCCAACCATGCTACCTCACCAATCACACTTGATTCTGCAAGTCAAAGTAAGCGCAGGATTGATGATGAAGTAAGTGGAAGTGATGCCAATGTATGTGAGAAAAGTGATAATGAGAGTGCTAAAAAGAGTCGAACGAGTTAGAACGAAAGCAAGAATACATTTATAATTATGGAGACATGGGACAAAATAGAATAATTAATATAAATTGGGGTTTTATATAAAAAGTTTATAACTATTACATTCTTTTTATGCTTTTTAATCTCTATCAAGATCTGATAACCGATCAATTTAAACTCTGCAAACATCTTCAATACCCTCATCCCTCCCCCGTTTAATTAACTGGTTCAAAAAAACGTCATCATCTCTCACATCAATACACACTTGCCTTGCACGCTTCCTTTTCTCTGTCGCCACCACTTCTTAAGTCTTGGATGTGTGAGTCAGCGATACAATAACTTTTTCATTGTTATATCATTCATGTAATAGAAATTTATTGGCTCGACAATAAAGCTTGAAAAATGAAAGGAAATGATGAACTGTGAAATGCCGTGAAAACTCGATAATGAACAGAGGAGAGGAAAGGAATATATAAACTCTTTGAATATAAATGAACGTGCTGTCGTATGAATTGACTCGCATTAGTCTGATGATGAAAGTTACAATAAAAGTGGACCGTGTTTGATGCATCAAACCCAAACTCCATTGCTAGTAACTCTAACAGAAACCCTCAAAAAGCTTTTACGCACATATACAGTTCTTAACACATCGGCTTAATCGATGTTCGCGTAGAGCGATCCAGAAATGATGATTCAACTAAATTTGTTAATATCCATTGTATATTCTGTGTCGGTATCTTTTGCGCGAGAGAATTGCAAACAATCGTCAGATACGTTATCAACTCTTCCAGTTGTGACCTCTTGACGTTGGCATCATTAAGCGCATTCCAGTGTTAGGCAGCTGTCTGCTAGACGCTAAATACACAAATTAAAAGTTTAATCTCTCGTTGCCCATACAGATTATGTCGATAATTTTGGTTTGTTTACTTACTCTTTGAGTAATTTGTGTGACCAGAAATTTGGGTATTGTCCCGCGCTGGAGAATATCCATGCATACGCTTAGCAGACTGACTGTTATTTGGGACTGTGAACGAACCGTCTAAATATTTTAGAGCAAAGTTTTGGTTATAAGAGTGCAAACGATACTGTTGCATGAGCGCGACGTAATTAGACCTGCGTAGTTTGCCCAATTTATGGGAATGCTGCCGCGTTGCCCAGATAGTTGCTGTGTATCAGACATCGATAAATAGTAAATAGATTGTGTCACAATTAATTAATAACAATTTTTGCTGGAAGATATTTTACGTTATTTATCACTCCGTCTCCGGTTGCCGTGTTACGGACTGTACGCCGAATGTTCGAGGCCAGCGTTCGATTCCTAAAATCTTCGTGCATGGTCTAAAATTACGAATAAAGAATAACACAATATCTGTTGTAAGTATCGAAATTTAAAGTCTGGATCTGATTTTGCGTGGATATAATGAAGTATAATAAACAAAACATTTGTACTCAAACTTGCCTTAAGCCTAGTAAATTGTGCGTTTTTTTCTTCAATTATCTTTTTCAATTCAAGATTGATGTTTTTTTCGGCTTCCAATTCCTTTTGTAAAGCTTGATGTGTGGTTGAGACAAATTAGAAATAATTATAACATTGATATAAACATTCCAGTTTATTTATTCTTACCCGATTGTTTTTCTCTTAATGCTGTCGTATTGATTATAGGGAACAATGATTAATCTAACTTGTATCTAGCTTATTGATTAAACAAACAGATAACAATATATTACCACAAAACTCGGTTTGCGCTTCTTTTTTTATTGAATGCAGCTGCTTTTCCAGCTGCTGGCATTTTTCCTGCAGGTTTTGGTACAGTATGTCCTGCAACCAGGACTCCTGCGTTGTTTGATAGGTCCAGAACGAAAGCGCTCTGGCCGTAATTTCCATAACTATATCTGGTCGAAGACCAGATAAGACCGACTAATGGAAAAATAAAATGCATTGAGAATATGTTGCAGTATATCAATAATACTTTCCGTTGCTCATCACGTTATACGTACGGATTTATAGTCTTCGCTGGGATTAAGGTTGACGAAAACTATATCATTACTGTTTTTTATTATATTAAATTAGTATAAACAGATAATACCGATACAATTTTATCAACGATAGCTATTAACATACTTTTCCGTTAGCGTGGTCTCGCATGCAGGACATACTAACGCTGAAGTAAATGCCTTTTTTGAACAATCGACTAAAAGTAACGCGTCAATATTTGAAGAAAATATAGGCTGATACTCAATCTTTATTCGATATACTTACCACAGAAAATATCTAGACGCGTGGTTAAAAGTTGATGCATACACGTTTTAGTTTAACGCGTTCGCTATGTACGTTATTCTCTTTTCTTATTTAATCAAAAGTAAATACTCAACGTGAACATATAGTGGTGCAAGCCCTGCCTTCAGCATAGAGCAGCTTTCTACACTGTACAACATTGCATCTTAGTTCTGGATCCATAGCAAAAATGAGATAACAAAATGTGTCTTGAAGGGGATATAAAAATAAACGACACGATGAGATGAGAGGGAAAGGGGAACGAAGAAACGTAAATTTATAGTAATATTCGTAAAGTCGGCTTTGAACTTGAAGTCACACAACTTTTGTAATGCCGACTTCACCAAGGCATGACTTTGATAATGCATCGTCATTAATGCGAACTCTTTTGGTTTTAATAATTTGGATTTAATAAATGATCTGATATTAATATGAGTAAAGGTCTGTTATAGCAATAAGCAAACAATTTTACAAAATCGTTCTTCGTGTTTACCTACTACTACGGTAACCTCTAAAATAATCAACGTTGTGTGCATTTATATTTAATTCAATATGATTATAATGCCAAGCTGAAATGCTTTTAACCCGTCCTGCGTACACTAAATATTCAAATACTAGTAAAATCAGTTTATTTTTATTGGACAATATAAATTTTCGTTATCACATGATTAAAATTTTCAACGATAAAAATTTGATATTAATATTAATGCTAATTAATTGCTCCGCAAACTAAATCAATGTCCGGGATAGCGATATCAACAAGAGCTAACCGTCAGTTTCGATCCATTTTACAACACAATTATTTTAAACCTCTGTGTATACTTAAGAATGCCAATCAAAAAAAGCTTTTTGACCATAAAAGGGCAACCTTTACGTCCTGGAGTGCCCAAGAAGCCGCGATACAATTCTCGTTGACAAAACTCGGTCTTATTGCTGTAGGCGTTCCTTTAGCTGTCTATGTTTACAAGGTGCGACTTGTTGTTTGAAACGCGTTTAAAACGGGGGAAAAAATAGATTACATGTATTAAAATTTTCATTCTTAAAAAGACTCGAGACTCACGCAACTTGCCACATTGATTCAGTGCACTATGTTGGTTTTGTTTCAAAACAAACTCATTTATGTGCCATATCTCCCACCCGGAAGTCGTCAGGTACAATTGGATAACACGCTCGTAGATCAACGGATGTTATGCAAAAAAGTTAACGTATGGACGCAGGATGGCTGCAAACTTGCCGGAATAATTGTCCGCGCTAAAAAATCAAAAGAGTTTCAGGCGGGATTGGATGAAACGTCTTGGCGGGACATTGATGACAATGATCCAGTCATGATTTATTTTCAAGGGTGAGTATGTTTGGAGAGAAGGATGAGAGAGAAAGAGAGGGAAGAGAACTTGTCGTGAATTCGATCATATCTTTATCTCTATATGCCAACAGGAATGCTGGTACCATGCTTACTCGTCTGCCGGTGTTTGAGCGTCTTCTTCTGCATCAGACTAAATCCACTCCGAACTTGACTATAGCTGGGATAGGTTATCGTGGATACTGGTTGTCTACGGGTCATCCGTTCGAAAAAGGTCTCCAACGCGATGCTCTTGCTATCTTTGACTTTGTACGACAACAGTTTCCGAAAAATCCGTTATACTTGTATGGTCACTCGCTAGGTGGTGCTGTTATGCTCTATCTCGCTTCTCATCCACATGTACAACGAGAGGTAAAAGGCATCATACTCGAAAATACGTTTACCTCCATGCAAGACATGGCAGCCACCCTGTATCCTCAGAGCTGGTTGCCGTATAAATACTTGGCGCGTAGTCCTTACATACTCCGAAGTCGATGGGAGAGTGAGAAGAGGATAAGGGCTGTAACTACGCCTATTCTCTTCTTGTCTTCTGTTGATGACGAAATAATACCACAGTCTCAAATGATGAGGTTACGAGACAATGCAATCAATGCAAAGTTCACGACATGGATAGAATTTCATAATGCTTTACACATGAATACGTACATGCAGGATGGATATTTGGAAGCCATAAAACAATTCATTGATAAGACATTATAACAATATTAGCTGCCTGGATAACAGAGATTGCTCATTGCATGTTTATTAATTACGAGCTCTATCAGAAAAATTTCACTCTTATGGTCGATAACTTTCAACTCAAAAAATATCTACATTGATACAGTAAAGGTATTTAATGATATATATTCGTCTTTTTTTTTTCCCTTTCTTTTTACAATACATGACAAAATAAAAGACTCATTAGTTGAGCATTCGTCAGTTATTAGACATTAATAATAATAGTAATAAGATTACTAAATTACACATTAATAATTAAAATTATTTTAGTAACTAAATTAAATCAAATTGGTGCCGTCAGTGTCTATATATAGTAAAATACTCAATAATACTTGAACTTTTTGTTGCATCTTTTTCTCACATTTTTTCGTACTTTCATCATTCAGTCGTATCATCATATGCCAATATCTTACTCATAAACTCTGCATAACTGACACACTTTGCCCGATGTTTCCCTACCAGTTTACTCAGATCATCTCTTCTCTCTATATACGAATGCCTATACATGGAGGCCGGAGTGTTGAAAATAGAATGAAGGCAGTTGCGAAATGCTTGCACCGCTGTAGCCCTAATCAAAGGCCCTAACAAGGTTTTACTCACGACCATACCCTGACTGATAGGTCCAAACATTGTCACTTTGCTATCTCGATGAACGTCTACCGAAAATAATCCATTAGGCAACGGATTCACTACAATTACTGCATTCCCAAAATCACCCTTGATCGTATTCTTTTTGTAGTCACGCCAATGCTCGTTCCACACTATATGCACATGATCATTACCGATATGTCTCTTTTTCTTTACCATCTTCACGTCAGACGGGTCATTAGGCATTTTGGTCACATCATGAAATATTATTTCCATACTGGAATCACAGTAATATGTCGCGCTCTTCCCGTTGGCACCAGTACGCTCTAATCCTCCTACATACCCAGTATGAGTAGCTAGATCAACTTCCCATCCTAAACTACTCACAAACTCGTCATACATTGCACTTCCGCTCACGTTCCGTAATATACTCGACTCATCCTCCTGTCCGGCTCCAACATACAGCACCGCAATCTTGATAACTTCTCTCGGATGTCTCTTATCAAGTAACTTCAGATCACGATTTATGGCGGCCGATTTTCTCAAGAGGAATATGTAGCTATCTTTAAATGTCTCTGGAGTTAACCATCCCAAATGGCTTAACAACAGTCGACAGTGTTGATATGGTTCGGTTGGTTTCTCAGATTCACATGGAATACACGGCAAGAATGACTTTGATAACGAGAAATCTGCTCCAAGCGATAGGTGCGACGTCTCCCTCGAATATAAGGGTGTCTTTGGCATTTTAGACTTTTTTTGACAATCGCCCACATGAAATATACTATTCCTAATTGTCTTCACTGTATCATACCACGACTTTGCCTGATCGTCAGACGCGTTCTCATAAGATATCTCTTCCTTTATATGTTTCGCCATCTGAAGTTTGACCAAATCCAGACGAGGTCGTTGTTCAGGCGGGGTCGGAGTTACAGCGCGCACATTACCAGATGGAGAGCAGTCATGATAATTGGTACCAATGTATGTGAGTAGATCATCCAACGAACTAGGTACAGAAGAAGTGTTTGATATTGGAGAATCGTTGGATTCGCTAGAAGGTTCTGTCACTTTCTCTACATCTATCTCACTACTGTTATCGTTATGTTCACTTGAGAATAACAATCGTCGTTCCTGTTTCCTACATTGTTTCTTCAGCTTCTCTCGTCCTTCCAGTTCATCAGTCATACCAATGTACTTTGTCTTGCTTGATTCATCTTCATGTATTGCCTTGAAAAACAGTCTTGAATCCCATGCGTATCTCCCAGTGATGTCCCTAATTATCATCCTTGATTGAGTAGATTTTTCACCTGGCACTTCGATCAGTGTAATTATTGTAGTATCATTAATTGAAAAGTATTGATAGTGTTCGGATAGCTCGTCTTCCGCAGGATCAGACCCAACCGGACCAACCAGAGAACTACTTGTCATAGCAGCACCATGAATCGGAGAGAAATTGCCCAAATGATGAGTCAAGTGAAGCAGTATGCACTCGGCTACATCTTTGATCAAGTCCGGGTCCTCCGGATAGTCTGCCCCCACTACATGCACTCCGTGTTCATTGTTAAGTGTAGCACTGAGACATACTCTACGATCAGCTTTTTCGAATTTTATTGAAGAGTTTTGGACAGTCTTTCTGCTGCGAGATTTTTTCGGCTTTGTTGTAAGTAATTTATCATATTTTGAGGGCTCGTACTGGAAAGTCAAGAGAAAGACAGAGTAAGATAAACGAGACCAGTCAATACAGTTAACTGTAAAATACTACTTACTCCAGTAACTTCGAAAGTTAAACCAATTACGTCAAACACTAGCTGATACAACTCTGTCTCTATAAAGATTCTTGGAGGAATAGCCATTAGCCAGTGGTTAAGACATTGAAACAGTTTGGTAATGATGAAACCTTAACAAAAAATAATGATATGATTAGCATGACATGGTAATAATTGTCACAATACGTTTCATGATATACCTCTCCCATTCCTCTGAGCTCCTCTCTGCAAATTTAAATGTCCATCCAAGGCTCCAACGAGGTTACTCAAAACGACTTCTATGATACTTGTATATATCTATAGATATAAAACACAAATTAGTTATGGTGCAACTTTTAATTAAAATACTCATAAACTAAGCTACCTTGGCATCATCGTTCTGATTCGGACGATTGTTCTGAGCAAACACACTCAAACAATCGGCGGCGGCGGCCACAACGGGAAGATGGTTCCAATATAATTGATCAACCAAAGCATGGAAGCACTCCTTCACTATAGACTTGTGTGGCCTAGAATGATATTGAAACGATAGAACATGGAAAGTATGACATTTAGTCAATCATGTACATAGAAACTGCACTTTAACGTTAACAGAAAATACATACCATGTCACTGACGTCAGCTCATTATAAGCAAGAGTGCAGATGCCATATAACAGCATTATATGAGTATCAGCATTACGCACACTCTCTTCAGTCTCGAGTGATCGTATGAGAGTATCCTTAAGCGTCAATCGCACCTTTGGAAGAAAACAAATATACAACTTGAATAAAAAAGACACTCGCGTTGACTCCACTCGCGGGAGGCTAACATTTTATACAACATGTAGTTTTCAAATCTAAGCCTCGTGGTTTGTACATTATTCACATTAATAACAAACTCGTCACCCGAGATTCATAGCATACCTCACTCAGTCTAATCGACTTTACCCTTCCAAACTCGTTCCCGTCCAAATCATTGTCGTCCAGACCAATGTCGTCCAACTCTGCCAAATCATTGTATGGCACTACTGGCACTTTGGCTGACGCAGATTGGCCCACAACACATATCAAAGAACACAATATTGTAATGGCATTCTGCCTAGTCAACTCTGGTAGTGACGAGCTTGTCTGAGTTAACACATTCCTCACTGATTCTATAAAACCGCTCACTAATATCTGGCATCCAGGAAGCCCTTGCGCAAAGAGTCGGGTGGAATTATTTATTATAGCTGAGGTTATTGCCGTTTCCCGTTCGGCTAGGCCTTTGAGCATCAAACGGTAGAAATGAGCATAATAGGAAGAGGGAAGCGGGTGTTCGTGACGACGAGACATCATCTTGCACATTCCAGCGTAGGCTTGAGCGCGACCCGGCGCATAGGCACTGAATGTGTTAATAAAGAAAGACGGTTATGAAAATTCGAATGCGAGATTGAGATTGTGCGCAACAAGTCTCTCTAACATGACTTACGCAGGCATGTCGCACGCTTCAAAAAACCACGGCGCAAAGTTACTGTATAATGACGGTAATGGGACGTTGTCATATGGTTGATTGTTACGTATCTATTCGAAATGTACAGTGTTAGTAAGGCACACTATTACAGTTGATTCTTTGGTTCTTGGAAAATCTACCATTGAAAGCATGCCCCAAAGTTCCACCAATCCTTTGATGGCTTCCGAATGATTAGGAGATATCTAAACACAAGAAATGAGCGTTAAGTACTCTCTAATTATCGTTTAAAAATATCAGCATATCCAAATTACCTCAATGCTATTGACATTGCCTAACGCAACTAGCATGTTCTTCCATACATAAAGAACATTCACTGACGTCCAGGGAAGTCTTTCTATGTATAGGAACTCGGTATATCTAAAATTGCCTAAAGTATTCGATAACTTCTCGGTGCTACAATTGTGCTGGGTAAAAATCGATGAAGCCGACGTTCTGTTGGACTAAGGAGTCGTAAAGACAAGATTAATATAAAGCATACAGTCGCTTATTTTTATATGCACTGATATTACACTATATTAATAATGTTCCTGGCTTCTTTTGTCATAATCATACCTTTACATTAGAATCCTCGGGAGTAAAATCGCTATTGCTACCATAATATTCCTCCTCATCTGCATGTGTATCATCCTCAGTTTCATCTTCAGATGCAATGCTCTCGGAATGGATAGATCCATTACTACCAAACCCGTTGTTCATAAAGTTAAACAACTGTCCACCCAATATTTTATTCTCATTTAGCGGCGACATGTCCTGATGGATGCTCACAGCCCTGCGGACAGGTTTACTATCGGGTGTCTTCACATCAGGTGATACCATTTCCTCACGTGACGAACTGCTTCCTGTAGTCTTATGTCGCGACTCGCGGAGAGACAAATGACGGGTTTTATTTTTTGACGGGAGACGACGATGTGAATATTTCTCGTTTATGGCGAATTCGGAAAGACGTCTGTTGGTTTCAAGCGCATCAAGGTCCACTTGATATAGATATTTAGAGAGGATGCGAGTGAGGCGAATCATTATTTTCTAATAAAATGTCGAATTACGATAACAGTGTAGAATGATAAAGTATATCCCATGAGAAATACAAACACGATAACGACCAAACATAAGAAAAGCAATTATAATAAAGCTTCTGATACTCACTCTCCATTGCGAGATTGTTTGTGACCATCGAGTAGCTCTGCTCATCTCAAATGTCAACGCTTGCCACAACTCGCCTTCTTGCGACATTGATCGCACAAATGCATTAAATATTGTCTAGCATGTTAAAACCAAGAGACGTGTTGTGAGTATACAAAGAATCCATACATCTATTAAATATGTTGAAACATCGCAACCTACCTCTACTAAATAGTTCACAAAATCATCAGCCAACGTGACTGATCTTATTGACCCATATTTATCATTTTGATTCATTATCCTGTGTTGAATCTCTAACAAGTTTGCTAGCATAATTTCCCTGTAAAACCGATGTCATAACGTTCAAATCATCCGTTAATTCCATGATCTGGATCGTATTTACATAAAAATAAACAAGGCATACCATGTCTTTGGCTCCAGTTCTATAGTACATTCGGCCACCATTGCTCTAAACAATGATAACGTGTCTTTATAAATGGCGACCTGCGATTCTGGTTCGAGATTCGCCATCTTGCCATCGGGCGTAAGCAACGGATGATCCTCAAATATGAGACTCAGTAGTTCAATATACCGTTGAAGGTATTTATTGGCTTCAGTATAATTATCAATCGATAAAGTAGGAGATGGCGTTCCACCTGTATCTGTGGAGCGGGCGTCATCGTTGGATGAACTGGTTGTATCAATCGAAATATTTGTCGGTGCCGAGGACGTCATGGTAACAGTTTTGCGAAGGAAAGATGGTCGTTCTTCTTCCTATTTATTGAACGGCAAGAAAATTTATTATACGCGTATAGACAGCAAAGTTGGAAAGATATAAGAACATCTGCATATGACTTACTCCGCTGAGTATCCACATTCCAATAATATGAACTGCTCCGCGGACAATGTCTTTATATGCGTGACTACCAGGTGGTAAGATCAATGCTTGTCTCAATATCTCATGTATAAACTCGCGGTTCTCGGGTGTAAGTAATATGGACTTTAATATCGGAGTTGCCGGTGAAGAATGCGTAGGCGGAGTATCAGTGGCCAAGTGGTTATTGTCGAGAGAATAGTCAATAAAAAACTGTATCAAAATGCGTAGTATCGTCGGTGGACATTTTCTAAACCCGATATCTGGGAAATAATTAAAACCCTCGTTAGTACTTGTTTTTTGAATCATTACAGCGCCTATTCAACTTACTCTCTTTCTCTGACAATAGACCGAATTTCTTCGCACATGCTGGAAACAGTTTCACCAAATAGTGCTTCTTAAATAGATCGAAATGAAATTTGGCAGCGGCAAACGCAGCATCAATGCCCATTCCAACTGCAATTCCGCTATCATACGTCAGACTCTCGACTGGAAATTCGTACGTCTCTTGCGGCGGAGTAGACCCAGCCGCCACATGAGCCAATCGAGCCAGACAAGATAGATCATGTTTTATAAGCGCGATTGCGTCAACTAGAGTTGGCGGTTGAGGATTGGGAAATAGCGCAATTCTATCTTCGGCTGCAGGCAAGTCATTGTGTTATTAAACAAGAAATAATCATGAGCATTTTCTGCATTTGAACACATCGGCCTTACAAATCGCATCTCACGCACCTTTTATCAGTTCCTGTCGTAGCGTGATGCTACCTTCATTTGAATCAAAAGTGTTCTCTACACTGTTGATGTGATCGTACACAAACAAATCTAGTGATATTGCATTTGCGTATAATCGAACAGCTTCCGCTAACTCTATAGTCTGGTCGTTAAGCCATAACAAAAGCAGTTGAAATCCTATTATTCGAATTCTAGGATGATTTCTATGCTCAAGAAGGTGATTTAATATTTCGGCTACACAAGAAAAATGAAAATATGTTTTAAAAAAAAAGTAATTTGGCAAAGATATGCATTTCACAACGATAACCTTTCCCCAATAAATTCTCTCTTCCGTTTTACAAATGACGTACCAATCTCCTTCTTATGCCATCCTTTCCGTATTCTATCAGGTAAATACAGGAATATTCTTCGCAAAACCAACAATATTCTATTTACATGAGCAAACTCCTTGGACGAAAAGGCAATCGGGCGATCTGTCCTCTCTTTTATCAACAGAAACAAATGTAAACAAACAATGATCTCATGCAAGGATATATGAAATAAGATAATATATAGAATGTATATTTTGAAAAGAAGAAATAAAACTTACGTCTTATTTTCTCTGTTTGATCCACATACGCTTTATACATTACATCGAAAACCATATCAGAGTGATCTTGGAAGAATTGGGCTTGATCTAATTCATTAGAAGCGTCTATCACGACAATATAAGCATTGAGTAGAGAATAAAAAAAACCAATTAGATCTTAGTGATTATAGATTCATATTATCAAATAAAATATAAATTAATCTAATTCCTTTACCATCTCGCCCATCACATACACACACCACTTACACACACTCTCACACACACTCACGCAAATACACTTGCACACACAAACGCACACATAAACGCACACACACGCATACACACACGAATACACACAGGAATACACGCATTCATACACACGCACACATGCACACACGCACACACGCACACACGCACACACATTAGTAAACCTTTATCCCACCATATAACCCACCGATAAAACTAATCAACGACATTATCCTCGCCTTAGATTTGTGTTTCGAATCGGAGAATACTCTTGTCTTTTTAAAGGTTCTCTCATTTTTATCATCCCTCTGTGGGGATCTACTTTGATCTCTATTTATAATGTCTTTTGGAAATTTGCCAGTTGTCTTCCTTGATAAGGAAGACGAATGACTGAGCGTTGCACTTGATGTATTCGATGAAGGTTCTTCCTCGGTTGGAGCAAGCGGAAAAGAGGTTTGGGAAGGAGAATTTAATTGGTATTGTCCGCTTTGCGGTCGTTTAATTTTGCTGATAATGCTACGCTGTGGTCGTCCAGACGCTTGTTGGTCACGCTGCATGACAGTAACAGTACTAGGAGAAGTAACAGGGGAAGAAGTGTTAGTGGGAGAAGCAGTATTCGTAGCTTCGTTGTTGGTCCCGCCCAATGTCAGCGCAATGTCTACTCGTTTTCCGCCTGAATCTGAAATAGACGGTCGCCTGGTAAACATCTGTTTAAACTTTGTCCCACTACTTGAATTTGAACTCTGCAGCACAGCTGGACGATCATCCACACCCTGAGTCGCGCGTCTAGAACGAGTAAGTGAAACTTTACGTTTTATTGAGGAAGAGGTTTTCACAGACGAACGCGAGGAGTTTTCGCGTGGGTCCATTGTATAGGCTCTTCCCAGTTAGAGTCTTTAAATTCAAAGGAGAGCTGTCTGCGAATACAGTTAATGAATTGAGTCATGAATGAACCATAAGTAGCGGAATTGTGTAACTGTAAAAAACAAGACATGATTGGTTAGATTCATTGAGTTTTTTTTTTCGGGGGTAGATTTCTCGATCTAACGCTAGAACAAGAACAGTAAAATTCAATGTCGAGCTACACAAATAATCATCTGTTTGTTAAATTCTTGATGATGAACAGGTAAGCCATGTGTTGGGAATCAACATCAACATGCCTGATGGTCTCCAATCGTAGGTGTTATTAAACAAAGGAACGAACGCAAACTTTCAACGTGCATACTAAACACTGACACATTTCAACCTCGCGAGATGATAACGTCTGTGCAATTTTCTTGTTAAACTGTTGACGAGACTTGCATCCTAATGATTAATAATTTGGTTTTTTAGACCGATCTTTGCATCATTCCGTTCAATGATAATGATGCCCGCGATGTATATGATATGACTAATCAGTATTATTATTATGGATAAAATCATTGATAATCATCTGCCAAATGTAATACACAATACCCGATATAATGGGCTTTGCCTATTAGCACAAAGACGACGCTTCGTAAGATGCAGACATTCCATTACTAATGGATATACGATTCTTGCTATTCGCATGCGAAACGTTCTTATGTGTTTATTTCCATACGTTTGTCAAAGACGTTCAATTGACAATTTAATAGATGGTCCGAAATAGGGTCTGATTTCTGTGTCTTTCAATTGCGAACGATTAATTGCGCAAGAACTGATTTATTTGCTCATATTCATTTGCTGCGAGCAATCAGATATCAGTATTTACACTAAACAAACGAGTACTATTACTGTGCTTCGGATCTTGAAAATGAAATTTTGACGTTTTATATATGTTCGGCTTGATACCTCTTTTGCGGTGGTGTTCTATCTTCCAGATGCAGAGACCTTTTGTTCTATTATGAGACACATCTCACAGTAACTAAACACCATCTCGTGATTAAGTTTACTCGTAATTGAGGTGCATGCCCACATACTGACTGATAACTTTTACTGCAAAGCAAACATAAATGTTAGCGTACGTTTAAATTGCGTCAGAAGAATGTAATTGTTGATATGACTGTTGATGCTTTATATCCCATATGAATTTCAGAAACGTTATAACCATACGATCAAAGCCCGTCAAAGCAGCAAGTTGTACATTAACCACCCATAACTCCATTACGACACGAGTTGCCAAGTAAAATCGTATGATCTATTACAAATTGTGACGGAAAGTTCTTTTGTAGTGCGAATCCATTGTGAATACAATGCTCGGATGTCAAAAAACAACTATTTCAAATAAAATGTGACAATGTATACGTATTTGTAAGCTTTGCGTGTTAAAATTTGATATTAAAATTACTGGATTACCAAACTTGGATTAGCACATTTTACAAGTCGCGTGGCTGAAGAAAAAGACTTTTTAATAGAACTCTAAAGTCTGATCCATCGAGTATTTATACTCTGCCAAAATTATTTTAAATCAATATGGAGAAAACTGAGACGTTAGGAGCGACGGAAGTATTTCAAATTGGCCTATCACTATTAATTAGGAAATTTAAATCTTTGCGAAACCATGAGCTCATACAAAACAATAAAGAAAGAACTGACTATTATTATTGACATTCTTATTGTGATGACAAGTCTTTCTCGGATCTTATTCAGTGACTAACCAATGAAGTCTTTTTGTGCACTACTGTACACACTGTACAGCCCGAGTTGAGGGCTGTGTATGTACGTTCGTATCTACTTGTCTCCCAGATAGCGCACATTCCCGTACTTTATCTCAGTAGCAGTAAAACTTTTAATGCAGCAGTGCTTTATGAAATGTCATTTCGTTTGGTTAAAGTTTGGCACGATTTTTATGAGAATTAGACTATGCATAACCCGCATGACGTACTTTACATCTTTGCGAAATCGCCAGGTTTTGATCATGCAATAAACTTTTGTGCATTATATTAATTGTGACACACATTTACCTATTAACCAATAGCTTAGTCAGCTTGTGGTTTTTTGACGGTGCCTTTTTTTTCGAAAAGAATGGGAAAAAAAGTCATTTGTCACTTGTACCACCAAAGATCAACTGTACAATCCCATAATATTGTCATCAATAATATACTTCTCATCCAATCATTGATTTTGCCCTCGTCTCACAACAATACAAGGACAACTTAATTCCTCATCTTTCCCTGACATTATGGGAGACGAGGCCAGAATTGTTCAAGAATAAATACCGATTTGAGTAAAACCTTGCTCGGAGTTCAATTAGAGCTTTGATTGGGTAATGACCTATGGAATCGTACAAAATAAACAAGCACGTCTGGTTGCACAATTCAAGTAAATAATCTAGCACACAGAACATGCTGATAACAAATGCCCCTTTTATTTCGCAACATACCCTCATCATAGCAAGTTTAATCCGTTGAAACCATGCATTTAATTAATTAATGAACAAGAGGAGAAGAAAATTAGAGTCACAAATTAATTAAAAATAATAAAAGTCTGCGCATTATTATTCCTTGTTATGGTTCATTTTCCCATCAATCAAGTTATTACAAAATAGCCATCGGTATTTTCACCCAAATTCATCTACTGCTATTTTTAACAAAGCATAGGCGGCTGTGCCAATGTCTTCTTTTGATTCATCATCAATTTCTATGAATTACCGATTTTTCATTTCGCCTATCGCACGCATCCTTGTTTTTGTTTCCCGAACCAAAGACGGCAGACAAACTCTGTATTACATTACTTTTCATCTACTGCATTCGAAAGTTACATCTGATATCTCTTGGCATCCAAACAAAGTGTGCGAGTTATTCTCTTCCTATACATGGTTAAGATTTGCGTCACGCAAAACCGCGCAAAACCCATCAATATATAACGCGCATAACTCTAGTCTGCAAAGAATTTGCACGAGCCTCATATCCTCCCTTCGCTTTCTACCCATACTCTTAAAGAGTATCCATTACCTCGAGTAAATTCTTTTACTCCTCACTTTCTTTTTAAATCTCCCCTAACATCGTCATACACTTTCCCACCAAATAATACCTACCCATCTAAATCCTCAACATGCGTTCGACCTTTCTCTCTCTTCTTCTCTTTTTCTCCTCCGCCTCTTTTTCCGCAGCCAGCTATCTCATAAGCAGTCCAGGGACTGGAACCGTCTGGAATGCGAACGATAAGGTCGAAGTCGATTGGCAAGGCACAGACGAGCCAAAAGTTAAAGTAAGACTTGTTTATGGTTCGGCAGCGAATCTGCAACAGTACGCTGTACTCTGCGACGGCATCGATTCAAGCGTAGGGAAATGCTCTTACACGGTTGATAGCAATATTCCCAGCGGCCGCGACTATGCAGTTACTGTCGGAGAAGACCCCAATAATTATGGGTATTCTAGCTTTTGTACGTATTCCTGATCTTGAGTAGGAGAGGAGAATTAAGACAATATTAAGAATTGAGCATCTTATAGATTACGTAATTAACCGAGTTTTTGTATTTTTGTTTAATAGTCACTATCAAAGCGAAGGGAGATCTTCCACCAGCTACTGGATGTCCTAACTTCGTAAGAATTTTTCCAGTCGAATAAACCCAACTTTATCTGTTGCTATCAAAATCCGCTGACGCATGTCTTCCCCGTTCTCTCCTTTTAGGGTGGCCAAAATTGCCCAGAATCACTTCCCTGTTGTAGTGCATCGGGATACTGTGGCGTTGGTAACGACTACTGCGGTAATGGATGTCTACCCCAGTACAGTTTTAACGGCAAATGTGGTAACAGCCCACCAGCACCAGCACCAGCACCACCAGCACCAGCACCACCAGCACCATCAAACGGAAATAAATGCGGCAACTCTGTGTGTGATGCATCCAATCCCTGCTGTAGTAAATACAATTTCTGTGGTGCAACACCCGATCATTGTGGAATTGGCTGTCAAGCCGGAAAGAGCTTTAATGGAAAGTGTCTAACTCCTCAAGCTTCACCAAAACCTAAGAAATGCGGTACCAAATATTGCAAGAGTACGGCACCGTGCTGCTCAAAGACTAACAGATGCGGGACAGCGTGCGGAGCTGGATGCCAGCCCGGAAAGAGTTTTGGTGGCAAGTGTAGCGCGTAAAATGGACTTGATAATGAGACAATAAATAGAAGGAACTATGTTATTTATATAATGATAGAATGTCGATTAAATAATTAATAAGAAAGTAGTATTAATCAAGTCTCATATCATCACGAAAGTTCTTTAATAACAAATCTTGTCCATTCAAACGAATCTTTACATTGAAAATTTGTCTCATAAATTTGTGAATTTAAGACATGTATCTTTGTTGATATGAAAGTTTTTGTAACCTTGCCAATAGCCCCGGCAGTCTGATTTCAATAATCCTTGATTTGTTTATTAGTTGACGTGACGAGATTATTATTATGTGCATATGCCAGACCTTGATCCCGAGAAAAGCATCATAGGCTGACACATGATCATAAGCATGAGTAATATGCCGTTAATCATATGATGTGAGACTTGCAGTTGCATAATTTAAGTGCTGCAGCATTTCTGCAAAGAAATGCGTTTGATCATTACGTGCCCAAACACTTCTGCATTACATTACACTCTTGTCCACTAGGGAAGGAGGGTCATGTAGTCATTCATTTGACAATGTCCCATATATTTAATCGTGTTGGTTTAAACAATGACTAGACTGCAACATGGGGACATGGTTACCTGACGTATAGGAAGTGTGCATTTGAACACGTGAGCTAAAGAGGCTGATTACGACGTGGCTGGAAAATGAGCTGATGTTTTGCTTGATTTACAGCAGGTGGTACACTTGCAATTCTTTCTGAATTGACAAAGTCCATTGCGATTTTAAGCCTGCTAGCCATCCGTTGGAAGAGTCACAAAAGCTGATTCGCGAAATGAGGCTTTTTCTTTTAAAATGTTTTCCGGTAATATCTTGCTGTGCATTAAGTGCAATATAGCTGTAAAATAATTCAGTTGATCGATTATGCGAACAGCAGAACGAGAGTCTACAATTAATATTGTAAAAAATTAGTAGAATAGGAAAATCCTGACTAATCGACATACCAAATCGAAGATCACCCTGTTTAAATATTTAATTTCTCTTCGATTCTGTGGTATAATAATTGTTGTTATTATCATATCATATGTAACCCTTATGTGGATATGAGTACGTGAGGTTGATCGGGTATTGTACTAATTATACTTTTATTATTCATATGTTGTGAACGAGTTAAAGAGGATATCGAAATCGTGCTTAATTGGTTTAATTTATTTAATTTACCGGTATTCATTAGTATTAGCCAAATTCGGGAAAAAATTAATATGATGTTCGCTTGATAAAGACCATAGTGATGATTGTCGCACTTTGTTATATCGAGATCGTTTTACTGTACTTGGATCTATATGAATCGCACAACAACATCATTACATGTTATTATATCGCGAGATTATAAGTAATATCATTATATCGAGCCCAATTTTAACTTGGTTCCGAGAAAACATCATATTTGACTTATCGGGGGATCATTATATTGAGAGCGACTGTGTACTGCTTGATTTTAATCTACACACTATTTCTTCATTTATTAATATATGATGAATATATACAAATTTACAATTTCAACTTGTTAGTTAATTTTCAAAAAAAAAATTGCTAGGTAACTAGATATATGCAATCTTCCAATAATTATAATAAACCACCAACAACAACGGCAAGAATAAGAATGTTACTCTTGACGTTGAGCCCAACCTACTCACAGTTTCTACAAAAAGAACATTTAATTTACTAATATATAAATAACCAACAACAGTAGAAAAGAAAATTTTTTAAGTGTTTAAACAATCACAAAATTAGTATACATGGAAAGATTATAACGTGCTCCATTGTGTCCTTGTCTAGCAGCCTTTTGACACCATCTAACAGCCTTTTGAATATCTTTTTCAACACCAATTCCATTCTTGTAGCATATGGCAAGTTTATACTGAGCATCAGAATACCCTTGTTGAGCAGCAGCACAATACAATTCAAAAGCCTTTTGGACATTCTTGTCAACTCCAATTCCTTTATAATAGTAGGTGGCAAGACTGTTTTGTGCATATGAATCTCCCTGTTCAGCAGCCTTTTGATATAATTCAAGTGCCTTTTTCAAATCTTTTGCAACTCCAATTGCATTCTCATAACATAAACCAAGATTGTAAATCGCTTTAGAATACCCTTGTTTGGCTGCCTGTTTGTATAATTTAACTGCCTTTGCTACATCTTTTTCAACTACAATTCCATTGTGATAACACCTGCCTAAATTACATTGTGCTCTGGCATGCCCTCGTTCAGCTGCTTTTTGGTAGAGTTCAACTGCTTTTTCAAGATCTTTTTCTACTCCAATACCATAATTGTAACATATGCCTAGGTTACATTGGGCTTTGGTATAGTCTTGCTTTGCTGCTTTCTGGTATAATTCAACTGCCTTTTGGAAGTCTCTTTCCACTCCAATTCCGTTCTGATAGCACACTCCAAGATGATATTGGCCATGGGCACATTCTTGTATTGCTGCTCTTTCATAAAACATGACAGCTTTTTTATAGTTCACACATACACCAATTCCATTCTCACAGCACAAGCCAAGAGTAGTTTGTGCCTTGGCATACCCTTGGTCAGCTGCTTTTCTGTATAGTTCAATGGCTTTTTCTAGATCCTGGTTTATTCCTATTCCATGCTCATAACACATAGCAAGACCATATTGTGCATAGACATTATTTTGTTCAGCTGCTTTTTGATATAATTCAACAGCCTTTTTGACATCTTGTGCTATGCCATTTCCATGTCTATAACACATGCCGAGATGGTATTGTGCAGAAGCATATCCTTGATCAGCAGCTTTTTGATATAATTGAATGGCTTTTCCAATATCTTTTTGTATTCCAATTCCGTTCCTATAACAATTACCAAGATTATATTGAGCACGATAATAGCCTTGTTCAGCTGCTTTTTGATACAACTCAACTGCCTTTTTAACATCTTTTTCTACTCCAACTCCATCTTCAAAACATGCACCAAGATTACTTTGTGCTCTAGCAAAACCTTGCTCAGCAGCCATTTGATACAATCTAACTGCCTCTTTAACATCTTTTTCTACTCCTATTCCCTCTTCAAAACATGCCCCCAGATTATGTTGTGCAGGTGCATAACCTTGATCAGCAGATTTTTGATACAATGCAACAGCCTTTATAATGTTCTTGTCTACACCAACTCCATCATAATAGCATATTCCAAGATTATTCTGTGCCCTGGCATGTCCTTGGTCAGCAGCTTTTTGATACAATGCAATAGCCTTTTTAATGTCCCTTTCTACTCCAGCTCCATCATCATAGCACACTCCAAGATTGTAGTGTGCACATACATTCCCTTTTGCAGCTGCTTTTTGATATAATTCAATTGCTTTATTAATATCTTGTGTGACACCAATTCCCTTGTCATAACAGACACCAAGGTCATTCTGTGCTCTGGCATATCCCTGTCCAGCAGATTTTTGATACAAGTTGATTGCCTTTTCAATATCCTTGCCAACTCCAACTCCATTTTCATAACAAACACCAAGATGATGTTGTCCATGAGCACAGTTTTGAGCAGCAGCTTGTTGATACAATTTGACAGCTTTTTCAATGTCTTGATTTACACCAATTCCATACTCATAACATAACCCAAGATTAGTCTGTGCCTTTGCATACCCTTGCTCTGCAGCTCTTTGATATAGTTCAACTGCCTTTGGAATATTCTTTTCTATCCCAGTTCCCTTTCTAAAGCATGTAGCAAGATTATATTGTGCAGGAGCATAACCTTGAGTAGCAGCATATTGGTACAACTTTACAGCTTTTTTGACATTCTTTTCTGTTCCAATTCCATGTTTATAACATTTGCCAAGGTTATTCTGCGCCTTAGCATAATGATGCTTGGCAGCCTTTTGATATAACTCAACTGACTTTGTAAGATTCTTTTCTACTCCAATTCCATGTTCATGACAAACTCCAAGATTGTTCTGTGCACAAAAGCTTCCTTGTTCAGCTGCCTCAAGATACAGTGCAACAGCTTTTGCTATATCTAAATTTACTCCTGTTCCATATTGATAGCACAAAGCTAAATTATATTGTGCAGGTGCATAATTTTGGTCAGCAGCATTTTTATACAATTCAACTGCCTTTTCAATATTCTTGTCAACTCTGATTCCACACTCATAACACATGCCAAGGTTATTTTGAGCTTTTGCATGCCCTTGTCCAGCAGCTTGCTGATACAGTTCAATTGCTTTATAATCATCTCTGTCTACCCCAATTCCAGTCCTGTAACATAAAGCAAGATTATACTGTGTCAAGGCATCTCCATGTTTAGAAGCTTCTTGATATAGTTCCATGGCATTTTTAAGATCCTTCCCTGATACACATCCTTTTTCGTAGCAGATACCAAATTCAATCTTTGCATACAAGAATTTTTGTGAGGTAGTTTTCTGGTACAAGTCAATGGTTTTTTGAACATCATTTTCAATACCAGTTCCATGTATACCAAGACTATCTTGTGCTCTGACATATCCTTGCTTGGCCGCTTTCTGACACAGTTCAGCTGCCTTTTTAACATCCTTTTTCATACCCTTTCCATTCTTGTAGCACATACCAAGATTATACTGTGCAGGAGCATAACCCTTCTCAGCAGCTTTCTGATATAATTCAACAGCTTTGTGAATGTCTTTTTTCAGTCCAGTTCCGTTTTCATAACACATACCGAGATTATTTTGTGCCTTGGCATATCCTTGATCAGCAGCTTTTTGATAGAGTTTGACAGCCATGTTGATATCTTTTCTGACACCTGTTCCACTCTCATAACAGGCACCAAGATTGTTCTGTGCATTAAAATTGCCTTGATCTGCAGCTTTTTGATAAAGTTTAACTGCTTTTACATGATTTTCTATTACACCAGTTCCATTTCTATAGCATAGTGCAAGATTATATTGTGCCATGGCATGACCCTGTTTAGCTGCTTTCCTATATAGTCCAACAGCCTTTTTCAAATCTTTGACTACACCAGTTCCTTCTTCATAGCAAATTGCAAGATTATTTTGTGCTCTGGCACATCCTTGGTCAGCAGCTTTTTGATAGAGTTCAATTGCCTTTGCAAGATCTTTCTGCACTCCAATTCCATTCTTGTAACATACAGCAAGATTATATTGTGCAAAAGCATATCCTTGCTCTGCGGATTTTTGATAGAATTCCAACACTTTCCCTACATGTGTTTCTCTTCCAGTTCCAAGTCTGACGCATTTGTGAAGCTCATTTTGTGCAGTAGAACATCCTTGATTTGCAGCTTTTTGATACAGGTCAACTGCCTTTACAATGTCTCTTGTTACTCCGGTTCCATTTTTATAGCATGTGCCAAGGTTATATTGTGCAAAGGCACACCCTTGCTCAGCAGCTTTTTGGTATAATTCCACGGCCATTTTAATGTCTTTGCCCACTCCACTTCCAATCTCATAGCATTGGCCAAGATCAGTTTGTGCTCTGGCATATCCTTGCTCAGCCGCCTTCTTAAATAGTTCAATACCCTTTTTTTCATCCTTCACTACACCAATTTCACACTTGTAGCATACACCGAGATTATATTGTGCAGGAGCATAGTCTTGCTCAGCGGCTTTCTGATATAATTCGACTGCCTTTCTGATATCTTGCCTGAGGCCAACTCCGCTCTGATAATATGTACCGAGATTATTTTGAGCTTTAGCATATCCGTGATTGGCAGCTTTTTGGTATAAATCTATGGCCATGTTGATATCTTTTTTAATTCCGATTCCATGCTCGTAATAAGCGGCGAGATTGTTCTGCGCCTGGAAGTTATCTTGGTCTGCCGCTTTTTGATATAACTCAAATGCCTTTTGATCGTTTTGTGCCAATACAATTCCATTTTCATAACATAATGCCAAATTATATTGTGCATCAGCATGGCCGCTATCAGCAGCTGCTTGATATAACTCGACCGCTCTTCCAAGATTGATGTCTACTCCGTATCCATACTGGTAGCATACACCAAGGTTATTTTGTGCTCTGGCGTATCCCTGTTCAGCGGCTTTTTGATAAAACTCGGCGGCTTTTTCTAAATTCTCGTTCACTCCTTTTCCACTTCTGTAGCATACGGCAAGATTATATTGTGCAGGAGCATAACCTTGTTCGGCGGCTTTTTGATATAATTCAACCGCCTTTCTAATGTCTTTTTCTGTCCCGACACCGTTCTCATAGCATAAGCCTAATTCATTTTGTGCAAAAAGATCATCTTCTGTGGGAAACTTTTGGTATAATTCAACGTTCTTTTTACCGCTCGCTTTATCTTCAATATCGCTACGATCAATTGATGTTGAAACATCGTCTTCATCTTGATATGATTCAACGGCCGTTTCCCTAGCTATTTCTGTTTCTGGTTCTTCGTTGGGGCATGCTCTTGGGTCACTTTTTTGATTATGAGCAGACTTTTCTACGTCAACACCATGTCCACGACGTCTCCGAAATATTAATTTTAAATTTTCAATTATTCTTTTTGACATTTTCCGAGTTGTTCATTTACAAGACGTTTCGGTTTTATTACAAGTTATTACTAAACACGTGTGACCTTAACGGGTTTATGCATATACTACTATTGCTATTCCGAATTAGCGTATATAATAAAAAATAGCAAAATGCTAATGCCCATTTTTACTTTAAGTTTTAGGTCCCGAGTGCGACACAGAACGTTCTTGTAACCGACTATTATTATTTTAGAGTTATTCATTCACACGATTAGACATTCTGTACCATGCAGAGACTTAAATTTGCTATACAATGACAATGATGGAATCCAATTTGTTTGAGGAGTGCGAAGACCCGTGATTTTCCACTCCCAATCACAAGCGTGTATGCGTTATCTTTTGTTTATAGTTTGTAATAAGTAGGACAAGTAAACTCTTGAGAGTCACGATTCAACGATGATATTCAATATCGAGCAGCATATTTACTCTATCTTTACGAGCACAAAAGTCTTGGCCATAGATAATTATTTGAGCTGTCGATCAGTTGACGAATAAGTATTTCAACACGACTATTATTCTCCCATATCTGTCTGTTTGTTATTGTTGCACTATGCTAATTTGGTAAATGTCAGAGTTCAAAAGTCACATCTCCTCAGTTTCGTTCTGGTGGCGGAGTGTTGAAAGAATCTTCAAGCCATTGTTATTGCATCGTTACACTGCATTTTACCGACCAGTATCGTCCTGCGCGATTATCGGCCTCAGTCAACCCCGCTTATCTAGCAAATTTAAATGGTAACTTCATTCCGCTTTAGAAAGAAACATTCCTTATTGATATAAAATCTAATAAACGTATTTGGTTCAAAGAACCATTATTATATGCTGATAAAGAGATGATACGTTTGACTGAGCGAGTTAGTTTCAGTTGAATATGTTAAGGATTAATAATTAAAGGTTAATTGTTCGTTTTCTATTTTAAGGGGAAAACGCCAGTTGCATGTAGCACTGCGTATAGATACTTCAGGGGATTTGTAAGCCCACGACTTCAGAAGTGTACTATATGTCTAAGAATTAAATCTTGCTTTTTAGATATGATATGGCTTTACCCTTCATTCTTGTTATGCTCCTCAAAAAAAACTGCTTGAAGATACTGATATCACTCAAGACATAGGTGCTATTTTGTAATTCGAGCGTGGAACACCAACGCAAGTAACGAAGATTGCAAACAGGCAATTGCAAAGACTTGAGTAGCGATTATAAAAATGCTTAAACAATATACATTTTTTGGCCAGATGTCAAATGACGAGTTGATACTTTTGCACTTATATATCTACACGTAAATTATTCTGTCAAACCGAATCTCCTGTTTGTAGGAATCATTAAAATATCATATGTCGCGAAATCTTGATATTTGCTTCACGCAATGATAATGCAAGAAATGAATCTACGACAATAAATTTCGTGTCTAAAGCTTTCTGGTTCAATATAAATACGCTTGCAACAGATCTCTTATTTAGCGATAAAGACATTACCAAACATTGATAATCTTTCTTCGCAGCAATTTTACGGATGCTCAATATTGACACATTCTGATTGAAGGGTACGGAGATCTATCAAAACTAACTTGAACTATTAGAGTTGACTGGCAACTATTCTTGGAAATTTGGAAAATTCTCCAATTTGAGAATGTTTGATAGCCATTACTGGTATACATTATTATTATCTGTAGTTTATGTATGCATCAGAATTAAAGATCGGCAATTAGTAAAGCCAATTTAGGCATGATGACAACAAAAAATCTACGAAAACAGGTTCAGAAGGTTACAATAGAACGATGCAACACATCGCTCGCAACTTTATTACGCGCGGCATTTCACAGAATGCCCTACTGATATCTGCACTTGGAGTTCGTTCTTTATCCACCGCTGCTTCCAGCTCACCAGTCTCACGCGCAATAGTATATTCAGCCAATGGTCCTGCTTCCTCAGTCTTGAAAGTAGTTTCGTACAAACTCGCGCCCTTGACGCCGAAAACTGTTTATCTCAAATTCCTCGCCGCTCCTATTAATCCGTCAGATATTAATACTATCGAAGGCTCTTACCCGATCCAAGTAAAGCTCAGAAATCTAGAAAAAGAAGGCGCGGAAGAAGAGCAACACGATAAAGTGAAGTATGTAAAAAAAGGAAGAATTACGGAAGAAAATGGTCTGGTAGCTGTCTGCGGAAATGAAGGCGTTGCAGAGGTTATCGAAGTTGGGAGCGAAGTTAAAAATATCAAGAAAGGCGAATGGGTTATCATGCGAAGATCTGGGTTTGGTAGGGGTTTTACTCTCCGCAAGCTTTAATTAAAATTTCATCATCCATCCCAACCCCTTCCCCAAAACTGCTCTTCCTCTTCCCTCTGTCTTTTCTTTCTTTCTTCACCAATTCAAGGTACTTGGCGCACCTACGCTGCTGCATTTGCCGATGACTTAATCCCGATAGACTGTACTTCCATCTCCCCAATCGTCGCGTCAACTATATCAGTCAATCCGTGTACAGCGTACAGAATGTTAAAAGACTTTGTAAAATTGAAGGAAGGTGATTGTATCGTGCAGAACGGAGCAAATAGCGCTGTTGGGCAGATGGTCATACAGCTTGCGAAATTTTGGGGTTTAACGAGCATTAACATTGTTAGGGAAAGGTGAGAAATGTGTCGGAGGAAAAAGAAGGGAGAGAGAGGGGGGGAGGGGGGAGGGACGAATCTCGATAGACTGATTGAAAGGTTTACTTGGTCGTAGAAACCATAAATTTAAAACCTGAATCCTGACTAACTCTCACTTATCATTCGTGACAGATCAAACTACAATGAAGTTGTCCAGCATCTTCGCTCCCTTGGCGCAACATATGTTATCCCAGACACTATGCTCACCACTCCATCTTCGCTTTCCCAGTTTGTCTCCTCGCTTCCCCCTTCAACCAACGCTGTGCTCGGACTAAACTGCGTCAGTGGTCCAATCGCGACGCATATGTGTAAACTACTATCTCCTTCCGCGACCGTTGTAACATATGGCGCGATGTCGCTGCAACCCATCCGTCTTGCGGCGTCTCTGCTGATCTTTAAGGATTTTAGATTTGTAGGATTCTGGATGACTAGATGGTACAAGGAGATGGAAGCAAAAGGAGGAAATGATAGAAAGGAAATGTTAGAAGAACTACTAGATATGTTTAGAACAGGTAAAATCAACGTTCCACAATATGATGTGGTTAAGTGGGGTCAGGAGGAGAGCGAAGAGGAAGCGTTGAATACGGTAAGTAACATCTTGAAGAAAAGAACAAAGATGAATGCAAAGAAGCAGATCTTTAGCATGGTGTAATGTCAAGTATAGTAAGACTTTCGAAGACAATCATACAGTGAATAAAGAATGAGGATGCGAATTCTGGCAGGTCGTAACTCAATGCTTTCTTTCATTACAAATTAATGTGTTCTGGAATTTTAATAATTAAAGTATCATCTTTTAAATACGGTTGTATCGTACAACAAAGGTTTGCTTGACACCTGAAACGTTGATACACATTCCTCCTGATATATGTTTGATAGTACAATTTGATTATTAAATATTGAGGACTTGTGATCTATAGATAGTTGAATTTAAAGTCCATTAAATAAAAAAGAGTCCTTTGATGACAAAATCGGTTTCGTCAACATAAACTTTAGTAATTCGCATAAAAATGTTCAAGTCATTATTAGTCAAAATTTCTCATTCGACGTTTCTACTGTTGCGGATATTCGCGCGTCGGCGCTCCAAGCATGGAATTTGGATCGGACGTTGTGTAGACCGGCATTCCGTGTGTAGGCATTTGATAATTGGACGTCGAATAGCCAGACGTTCCATTCCAAGAACGTAGAGAATCATGTGGCGAATATGCTGGCATTCCTAAAGGCACTTGAGAATCGGACGAATAGACAGACGGGACATTCCAAGAATTATGCGGTGAATATGCTGATCCTTCAATTCCATTTAGAGAATCCACTGTTGAATATCGGGGTCCGTTCGCCAAATATGGATCGTAAACCGAAGGAGCGAGTCTGAATGCCGGTTGCCGTTGAGTGGGAGGGACGGCAGTTTGCTTTTGAATGCTATATGGCGGTGGTGGGGTGCCAATAGGGTCAGGAGGGACAATAAAGGCAGCGGCATTGACATTGGTCTGAGCCATATTTGTACCGTTCGCTGCACCACTATTTCCGTTTGATCCTTCGGTCGCAATATCGTGTGCAACCGTTTGCGCTCTTTTCTTGTTCCTTTTTTTCTTATATACTCTCCAAGACACTACCGCAACAATAATTATGACGACTAAGCCCACAGCAACACAGATGGCGACCTTGCGGGTGTTATTGCTCTTAGATTTTGTAGAAGTTTGACTACAATAATATATATTGAGTGAGGATTCCGAAAGAAAAAAAAAAGACGACAAGTCAAATAGATCAGTGTTTCAATGGAAGTGAGATACTCACGAGTTATCAGAAAAGGCATATCCGTACGCTTGACAATCATACTTGTAAATTGACAAGGGATCAACGCTGATATCATTGTTTCCATTACTATAACACTCTACACATGCAGTGAGTGTATTGTAATAGTCTATATTGCACTGACAAGCTGCTAGTCCAGGCCCTATCAATTTAAGGAGACAATGAAGGTTGTTATTACTGTAGGGTGGAATGTGATTGCAGACTTGTACAGATTCCGCATTGCAACATATATGCGTTTTCAATGTATGTATACTCACTCACACCATAGGTTCCGTTTAACGCATAGCTTGGCGGCGGTGAAAAATATCCATCACAGGGAACAAGCGAGTCGTTTACCTTTTTACAAGCGTTCTGCGGGCCACTGCAGCTACTTGACTGTGCTGTAACAAGAGGAATTGTACAGAGGAAAAGGAATAGCAACGACGTGATAGTAAAAAGTCTAGCCATTTCGAGCAATGACTCCGCTCCTCCAGCTGTGATTATCGTTAATTAATGTTTTAGGAGGATTAATAATAATACTAGTACTTTATCCGTTGCACAAACCGGTTAAAGAGCATAAATCATTGTAATAATGAGTTGTATATATATGGATATGAATGTAGTAACACAAAGCATGACTATGACTATCAAATTAATCAAAATAGCTTTGCTGTTCATTTCTTCGAACAGTAAAAGTTTTTAGACGAGAGTAAGTCATTCGCGCAATTACACACTGTAACATGATCTTTCGACTGTCATTTGCCTGAAACAAGACCTGTCACAAACGGTTGCATTGTTCTCCATGTTAACATTCTTATCCTCTGCTTTGGGCAATTTATTCAATGTGTTACAGGGTTGCCAACAAGAATATGAAGAGTAGAGCTATTTACAATGTTTGTCCTTATTAGCTTGCTTTCATTCTTATATCTTTATCGAACGCAACATTTCTTATGTCCGAGATTAACGATTTATTTTATTTGTTATTGAAAATCTTATACACATTATCGATATTTGCTACATAAATTTCTAATAATACCCTTTTTAGTAAATTTATAAAACAAACAGTTCGTGAGAGTTGTAAGCTCAGCAAGGAAATGAACTATAGCCGAATTGTTATCAATCAGCTCAACCTTTTCTGTAAGAGACACTGGTGAATTGCGATACCAGTCGATCACGTTGACCGATAGTCTACATTTTTTCGAGTTTTTCCAGAAACTTTACTCCAAGCTCCGAAGCAAAGTTATATATACCATAACTGGAAAAAATTATAACGAGTGTGTTACTCATGGAATTGGAAGTGTGCCACTGTCCCAATCCTACTCGTAATTGCTTGTGCTTGTCTTGAACTTTTAAGAGTCGCCGGTGGATTGCCTGATCTGCCCATATATCCAATTTACTTTTCTTGTTTAGGTTCACATCCTGATAATAGGCCGTACAGGTTTTGAAAACATTTTGTGGTTTATCACCAGCCTCAAGAATTACTAGATTCGGGATTTCTACATTACAGCCGATCTCAACACCTTCTATGAGTGCCTCATGGATATTGAGCAGATCAGTTGTATCTGACGAATGTGTGACCAAGTTTTTAAAAACGCCATTAACTCTTTGAAACCAGTCTTCGCTTATGACGTTTTTTCCAAATAAATTATGCTCCATGGTAAGTCGAATTCGTCGTCAGGGATCGAATCCAATGATTGCGGAAGTCTGAACTGAAGTACCATACGCAGTGTTGCATGAAATGTTTGCAGAGCTGTGGTATATTACCATATTTGTATGTTGATTCTCTTAACGTTAAGTTTATATTGTCGATTATGCAGACGTTCCAAATAAATGGATCAGCTTAACAGGATCTGCGGCTTGGTGTATGAGATTGCATTTACCATATTAATATACACTACCTTACCATAAATCACCGGATTTTTTGTCACGTGTTTGAAATAGTTATGAAATTTTTGTATTTTCTAAGCGACATTGACAATTTTCAAACTTATCAAGCATCGATAAAAATTCTCCATGATAAACTACTGCTTTTATTGTTGCATACATAAAATTTACAGATGTTAAAAGCTAATACTTGGTGTTCCCACCTTTAGCCTTAATAACAGCTTCTATTCGATGTGGTAAGCTCATAATTAAATTTTGCAACATCTCTAGGCTAATATTACTCCATTCCTCTTGAATTGCAGTTATTAAATCCTGCTTTGGCTGAGGCAGAGGTTTTCGTTTACGTACCTGACGGTCTAGATGGTTCCAAAGATTTTCGATCGGATTAAGGTCAGGACTTTGCGCGACCCAATCTAAAGTTCGAATACCATGAGTTGACATCCACCAAGTGCTATACAAAGATATATGGCATGGTGCTCGTCTTGCTGAAAGACTGAATCAGGATAATCTCTCACCCAAGGTATAAAATTGTTAGCTAGAACGTTAATATAAGCCTCGGAATCCATGTTTCCGTCAACTAATACTAAGGGACCAACTCCATTCCAACTGAAACACCCCCAAAACATTACTGACCCCCCACCAAATTTAACTGTAGGTTGAATACAGTCTTTCTTATAAGTTTCTCCGCTATTCCTCCACACTTTTGCCCGACCATCTGACTTAAAAAGAGTAAATCTTGACTCATCTGACCATACTATTTGTTTCCATTCTTCTTTCCAATCGCGTTTGTCTCTACACCATCTTAAACGATTACGTTTTTGCTTTTCAGTTAAGTGAGACTTTTTCTTTGCAGTATAACATCGAATACCCTCATCATGCAAGTATCTTCTAACAGTACTAGGATGTAATGTTGTTTAAAGATCAGAATTTAACTTACCTGTCAGAACGGGGAGCGAGCCAAACCTATCCTCTCGGACTATGCGTTTCAGAACCCGTACATCTCGGTCAGTAAGCGTTTTTGGGCGCCCGGGACGTTTCCTTGGTGTGGCAGAATGTGTTTGCTTATATCGTTTAATTGTATCATGCACAGTGCTAGGAGCAATGCTCAGTTGAGCGGAAATAACTTTTTGATTCGTTCCGCTAAGATATGCACCAATTATACGTTCGCGCTGCCCGTTTGAAAGCTCCTTTTTGACCATTTTATGCTTTTAACAATTGAAGAGTAGCAGGAAAATAGAAGTTATTATTCTACATAGCGTATTTTATTTGCACGGTATGCAACCCATAGGCGGTCGCTAGCTCCATTGATTTCCATAATAGAGAATAAATTCATAACAGAAAAACATTATTGCTGCATTTGGGACCACTCTCATCAAATGCGCACTTAATCCGCCATACAAAGCAGTCAAGCCCTCTTCGTGGGCAACCGTTCGCACGCATTGAATTATACTTGTGTATTTTAATTTACCATTCGGCTCTGGAGGCTGACGAAGTCGTGTTCGAATGACCTGAAATAACATTTGCATGGAAATTGGAATATTAGATTTAGAGCCTACAAACAAACTAATGAAAGAAAAGTTATAACCATTAATTAACGCGAGAACATCACTTGTGATCGGCCTCCTCCCTCTCGTTGACGATACAGTCTTGTATAACTAACTGACCTCATGTGGATAAGTGACGCAAGCAGCTAATAGCTTTGCAGTTCCAGCAGCAATAAAATTATCCAACCACAAATGCCAATAATTTGTTCCTTCCCTCATCATACTATTAACACCAAGCGTCACTGTCTGATTCTTTTTCCTACGCTCTGCCAACTTTGTTTTCAGAGATTCGTAGATTACCCATTGCATAGTACTCTCCGTAGTGCCTAAACATGAATTAAATAGAAAATAGGCCATCGACGTGCTCATTTGAATTAGTTTTCTGTGTTTAGATGAACACTCGGCTCGGACCAAACTTTAAACTTGAGTGCATCATGAGGAAACATCACCTAGATAAGATGCACTAAGACCCTTGTATAATCCTCTGATTCCCTCTTCGCGTATCACTTGTAACACACAGTCAAACGAGTTACGATATTTCGCCACCGGAAATAGCGAATTGGCCTTATTCGATGACTGCAATTGCATTCGAGTTTTTATTAACCAAATGGGATTTGTTATTGTAGATGTTGTGATTCCTAACGAACGGGATGGAAACCGAGAAAAATTATTAACCATATTGCTAATGTAACAAACTCACGCGTCATATATGCAGTAACACATTCGCTCCCGGTGCATCTCTTTCCGTCGTACTTTACGATACTTGTTTTACTCACCGGCCAAAATGGCAGCTGATGTGTGTACTAATGAAGTCTCTGCTCCGCCGTTCAACTCGGTTATTATCCTCTTTCCATTACCATAAGCAAAGAAATGTATAGCTCTGTTTACCAAAAAACAAACGCAAAAATAAACATAAATCAGCTGATACTGAAAGCTAGAATTTTCACGCCGAAAATGAGCACAAGGATGAATAATCAGCATCAGAGAACATGCCTTTAGTTATATCATACAGTTTACCTTGCTGGAATGACTCCTACCAAGTTAGGACCTAGCCCTTTGAAATACGCACGCCATCCCTCTACACGATAGATTTGACTGATAACCCACAGCATGGAATGTGGGTAAATAAAAGTAACAATGTGAGTAGAATCGATACGGAATAAAATCAATACTTTGTATACGCATTCCCGTCCCACTGTTTTTGAGCGTTTTTACCACAGGATTTGTCCGGTATCAACAAAATGTTTAATGACCGGAATCTGTATCCGAGTCTTGTTTAACCTGTTTTTATAGTATTCGGACTATCGTTGACATGACTTTAGAAATCGTGATAATACGCGTCGATAATCTTTTGATAGTTCAAACTACTTACTTGCAGACGTGTCTTTACAACATCCAATGGACTTGTCACGATAGCTCCCGTCATACCTCCAACACTGGTAAGAGAGCCAAAGTTCCATTAATCATCACATCAGATCAATACAAAACTGGATTTTTCTATCGTATTATTAGAACTTACCCTCCAGCAACAAAGTGTAACCATGCTTTGGATTTAATAGTTTCAGTTGGAGTCCGTTTTGGTTGTGGTGGTACAACGCTTCCCTGCGAAGAGAAACCCAAAGGAGGTTGTGACAGCGGAGGACTACTCTTGGTCGTAACAGTCATATATATCTGTAACTATCAATTATTACGTAAAGACGATCAAGACACTTTCTTCAATTGTTAAATCCTCTTGTCCCCAAATTATGCGTTTCTATTCCCTTCGTGCTTATGTTGCAGTAGTACCTATCGCGAGGTTGCAGTAGTACCCTAGCCATGGCAAACAAAAATGTTCGGATCACGTGAAATGTTCGGATCGGAACGCCCAAAATATTATTACTATTACTATTACAGTCGATTGCCGACCCCATAATTCGACCTTTCCGGTAATTCGATCGCCTTGAGTGAGACCCGATTTTTTCATATGATTTTTCTTCCTTTAATTCGATCGAACTCAGGAAATTTCGATTACTCGTTAATTCGACCGCTTAAATAATTTCTATTCAGCCAATACGTCCGTTAATTCGACCATGGTCAATCATTTCCATTTAAGGGTTAATTTATTAGTATTAGCTTTTTCCAATTATTCGACCGGCTGTGATAAAAAATTTCGATTATCCCCGGCTGATTCTTTATTCCATCATATGTTCGTTTCCATCCAAAATGCCTCGATCGAAAAAAAAAACCTTATGTTACGTTGAGTGCCGAACAGAAGCAGGAAATATGTCAGCGAAAAGCTGAAAACCCTCAATTTTATCCAACTTGGAATTGGCTATAGAATATCGTACAGGAAAAACAACCATTCAGAATATTATAGCTCGATCAGAAAAATGGATAAACATCGATGTTAATGAACCTTATGCTAAAAAGTTAAGAAACCGAAGGCCAAAATGGCAAACGTTGGAAGAAGCCCTATCATTATGGACGTCGACTGTTATAGAGAATGGCTATGCTCTTACCGGTGACGCCATACTCGCTAAATCTCGCGACTATGCAAAACGTTTAGAAATTAATGACTTCAAAGGAACAAACGGTTGGTTATCTAAGTTTAAGAAACGTTATGGATTGAGACAAATGGTAAAGCATGGGGAGGCTGGTAGTGTGCCATGTGAGAATTATTTGGAGACTGAGAGAGAAAAACTTCGTAAGGAATTAGACGAGTACAGTATGGATGACATATATAATGCAGATGAAACTGGCTTGTACTGGGCGATGGAACCTTGTCGGGTTCTGACTGATCGTAGGGTTTGTGGGAAAAAAAAAGAATAAAAGTAAAGTTTCGATACTATTAACAACAAACGCCTCAGGAACAGATAAATTGCCACCATTGTTAATTTACAAATACCGAACACCGCGTCCTTTGAGAAATATAAATAAAGCACATCTTCCGATCCAGTATTACTGGAATTCTAAAGCTCATATGCAGGTAATATGTTGCGTAAATTCATCTATAGCAATTAAATAAATATATGTATGGAACCAGTTATGTAATTATCTTGTATAATTAGGTGTCCATATTCAACGAATGGCTCAAGTGGTTTGACACAAAATTACGCAGTGAAGGTCGAACTATCATTCTTTTATTAGACAACGCCTCGGTGCATAAAATTTTCTCTGGAAACGAACCAACAAATATTAAGATCAGATTCTTATCACCCAATACGACGCCAGTATAATACATAGTTTCAAATCTCAATATCGAAAGCTTTTGTGCGCCATAAGTTACAATTGCTTGAAGAACGTTTGGAAAACTGTAATAATTTTGAGGAATATAACATAAAACATGCGATCTATAACGTATTCGACGCATGGAATAATGTCGATAGAAAAACAATTAGGAACTGTTGGCTAAAAACCGGAATTCTTCCGACATTGTATCATACTACAATCATAAACCGGGCAGCAGAAGAGTTGGCAGTAGAGACAAATGAGCAAAGTACGATAATTCAGGAACTAATTAATCGAATGAATTTGCCTGACCCATTGGATGCTAGTGGTAATGTTAATCATTTACAATATTTCCCTATTTTTGTTCGTATTAATGTTACCAATGCTTGCTGTCTAACCCCACAGAATTTATTGCCGTTGACAATGCGGAAAATGCGAACGCAGCACTTGATGACGATGAGATTATACAAGAAGTTCTCGGTTGTAAGTCTGCAGAGAACGACTCCGATACGGAAAATGAAAATACGAATGCAAGCATCGAAAAAATTTCCCTTAACGAAGGTGAAGATGCACTTAAAAAGTCATTAATATTTCTTGAACAACAAGAAAACATCGAATTTAAAACTGAGGATTTGACAGTCATCCGTCGTCTTATCAATCAAATTGAATTGCATCGTTTATCTTTGCTTAAGCAACCATCTATTACAAGTTTCTTATGTTAAGTTTTCAAATAATAAATTTGTGTTACCATTAAGTACATCTGATTGGATATTCGTTAATTCGACTTTACGTTAATTCGACCGATGACCGCAGACCGCAAGCGGTCGAATTATCGGCAATCGACTGTATTATGCAATATGCTAAAAACGGTAGTATTTTGTCTTATTTGGATCAAAATATTAACAAATTGACGTGGTTGAATAAATTACGGCATTTGAAAGATATTGTATGGTATCTGGATAATATTCATAGAGCGGATACGCATTCGGGTATATAGAACCTCCGTACTGTACCTTTTCAAATTCTGTACTGTACTATTTAATGAAGTTGTACTAAATATAATATAACATACCTATATAAGTGCTGTACTGTACCGTTGCGTTTGGCCCCCTGTACCATTATCACTTGGTACGTACGGTATGTCTATCATTTCCTCTAATGAGAAAATTTTTTATTGCGCGCTTTCCACTACTCCCACGACACACACGACTCTTTTCACCTAAATACTAAAATGGATGCTAATCCCAACACTACAACCGCCTTAGAGGTAAGGTTCTTATAACTATTGGATAGAGACAGCCTTTTCTTTACTGGGTGTAGCATATTAATATCGTAACTGTTAATAACGTATAGACGAGACCTCACCTGGCTATCTTTGGACGTAAATTAGTTATTGATCAAGTTAATCATTATGTTGAATTCAATGAATATCCGCAGACATCTGAAACTGGTGTTGCAACAGTCTATGATGTTTCTGCATGGGAACCCGAAGAAGCCAGAATAAGAAAGGCTTTTGCCTTGAAAAACATACAGTACTCAATTGGTGACCCAGGTAACAAAAAGTCGACATTTTCTAACTGTCAATTCTTAGGTGTTGATACCACAAAAGAGTATCGAACTTGTCAAGGAGTTAAAGCATGCGAATATGCATCACTGGCACTTCACATGCCACACACTGAAGTTGATTTTGAAGGTCAACTTTTTAAGCATCTCTTTGATGCTCATGAATATTCCATTAGCAAGCAAACCCTTGGGTATGTTGGCAGGATGTTAGCATATTTTATTAAAAATTTTATTTTTTTTGTTAATATTGTGGTTTATATTGCAGGAAATTTGTCGCTGCACATAACACTCCATGTCCTTATCTGAATCCAGTGACAAACCAATATTGTACAGGCAGCCCTAAGCTGTGTGAACATAATCAGGTAGGAAATGCAAACATGTAGAAGAGTAGAGGCCATGTGTGTCTTGAATGATACAAGCATGTGTAATAAACAGATGTGAATTCGCATAAACATTAAGACTTTTCGCTTTACTAGATCGATGATGGCATACAAGCAACCTTTTTTATTGGTTGTACAGGATGGCATGCTGGACAACAGCACCGTTATATTCAGATTGAGAAAAGTATCGATATTGAGTATCTTCAAAGACTATTTCGTGATCGAAAGTATTGTCCCAGAAATAGAAATTCTAATGATGTATTGATTGATGGTAACTGTTTCATGGTATTGCCAACCAATTCGCAGATTAAAAAATGCCGTGCGTATCTCATTTCTGGTTGTACAAACTGTCATAGAATTTATATTTATTCTGTCTTACTTGAAAAAATTTTTTTTAAGCCTTTCCGCATGAGATAGGGAACGATATAACGGAGGGCAGAATTAAACAAATAGGATGTAAAGTCAAATTCTACCACTTTACCCCGATAAATTTAAAAGAGTGCCCATACATTGCCATTGTCTCTGTAGGGAAGCACACTCATTTACCACCCCCACCCAGCAAGCCTCCGATAACTGTGGTGGAAAACTTGAACAAAATAATGAACAGTGAGGATTTGCTAGATCTTACTGCATGCAAGCTGATGACGAGTATGTTCCTTTTCTTATCAATTATGCATCACTGACTACAACTGATTACATAAATTTATCATCGCAGAGCCTGCATTAAAGATTTATCTCAATGGTGCGCATATTAGCACACTCCATCCCTCTTTCAATAAACAATCTCGACTCAATTATTTGATAGGAAAGGCCAAACGTGCTAAGTATCCATTCGGTCAGGATATTTATGGTATGCTCAGTATTCAATCGTTGTTTTCACCATTACTTTAAATACTTATTTCTTTCCGATCGAAATGCAGGTGTAATTAGTGAATTTTCTCGAAATCACAGAAATTCCGAAAACCCCTACATCCGTCATATACGTATGAATTTTCAATTATCATTATAGCTGGGCCTCAAATATCTATCAACTCAAAGCTTTATGTTTATTTTCATTATAGATTTTTATGAAACTGGTCAGATTTTGATTATCTGCACGACAGCGGATCAATCACGACAACTCCAACAACTAAAAAGCTTTGAAATCGATGCAAGCTTCAAACGTGTCCAAGGCGTCATTAAGGAATGGGAAATAAATGCATTTGTCGAACGCTACACTAAAAGTAAGGTTGGCTATTTTCTGATGGTTACGTAGTTAATTGTGATGGTAATTAATTCACTCTGATTTTATATTTAGCCTTACCCTTTGCTCGAGTCTTCACGGATGTTGAGACGGCTAATGCATACGAACATGTGTTTACGGAAGTCTTTTCTATTGTGGAAAATGATGTTGGTCACCGATTAAAGTTTCAGCACATAGATGGTGAGGGCATTCAAAAAATTATTGCAGATGCTCATGAAGGCCAGGCAAAAGGTGACTTGAAATATTTACATTTGTATTGCGCAAAAAACACCATTTATCTGTATTGATCTTTACATCCGTCATACAGGGTTAGGTCTCTATTTACATAAAATAGATCCTAGTCGCACCGTCACAGAACATCTTGAGCATATATATCAAACTTGTATAGTGCATTATAATCGGTTGGTGATTACCACTTTGTCTCGTTGCTAACATTATCAACCAATAAATATGCATTCTATTTTACTGATTTCTAATAATTTTACAGGAATATTAGGAATAAAAAAATCCCCGAAGAAATAAAGAAAATGATGTATGCGATACCGAATCAAGAAACCGAAGCACAAGTCCAACTGCTTCTGTACCAAATCGAGTCGAGTGAAATTCCTGAAGCAATCAGTAAGCTGTTTATTAGATTTGATAAGTATGACATTTAATTTTTTTACCCAACTCAAAAGTTTATTTGCTATCAAAGATTGGGCTCGTGACAAGCGCGATCCATGGATGTTGGCTAGTATTTCGCCTGTTTACTCCAGAATGTCTCGGGAGACTTGGAATTTACCACCACACAATACTAATGCCAGTGAGAGCGCTCATGCTAATATAAACTTAGATGGAAAATCCCTCTCCCTGCTTTCAGCTATCCTAAAGTAAGTAGTATGCCCAACCACCGAGACTATGTTCTTGGTTGAACATTCTCAATTCAGAGAAAACCCCTTCTAACACAGTCTTCTATTTCCTTTAGAGGACGTGATTTTGATTGCCACCAGTG